CTAAGCCTTATCAAATTTCACATGTAGAGGATGTAAAACAAAATATTTTTTGTTCGTTTTATATATGCATTTTTAAATAACAAAAATCATACATTACTATATTGATAACACAGAATTCCATTATAATTTATCAAGCTTAGTAACTATGCTGTATTTGGGTCTAAAAAAATATAATTTTTTGAGCTCACTAATGTCTTGGAATCTAGCATGAAAAAGAGTTTCTTGTGCAAATACATCGCAGAGGCTGAGAAAACCACTAGGGGGACATTCCACACTTTCAGTTGTTTATACACACATCACTGGGTGAAATAGGTGTACATAAGCTGGTATTTTTAAAAATGGAAGAAGTGGGCGGGGCCACCTTGGTTGATTCAATAAATATATTAATATCTGAGAAAACAGAAAAGATAGGAAGTTCTTATCTTATATTCTAACTTGCCAATATCAGTAATTTAAGTATATAATTCGTAAGAAACTATAGACTTTGTAATTGGACATCTCTAACATCTAATTTAAACCAATGCTGCATTCAACATTCCATGTGACACACAACAATCAATATTTAGGATTTTTGGTTAAATATTTCCTTTTAAGCTAAGAAATTAACTAATGTATAGTACTAAAATTTGAATTATAATCTAGAATTTGATACCAAACTTATTGACATACATTCATAAAATAGTAGTTCAATAAAATTTTTAATGTGAGTCTACAAATGAGATGACATAGCCTTTGACCCATGACCATAAGAAGACCCTTCTTGGTAGGGTTAACATAACACATGGGTAATCTTTTAAATTTCAATAATAAGACCTGTTACCCTTTTTTTTACCTACATTAATTAAGTTAAGGGATCTTAACCTATCCCTATAAGATAACCCTTCAATCATAAAGCTTTTTGAAAATCTAAGTAAACCAAATTCCTATACCATCTAAATAGTCTTCTCAAACGAAAATTAACGAATCAGTATGGGAAGACTTCCTTTTAGTGAATCTATGTTGATTGTCTTTAGTGACATCATATTTCATTTAATAATTTTCCAAAGCTGGTTTTATCAGACTGTCTAGAATTTTCTTCGCTTAAAAAGTTATCTTAACTGATCTGTAATTTCCAGGGTAATTCTTATCACCCCATTTAAAACTAGGAGCAACACATCAATTTTCCAATCCTCAGGGACCTGCTTACTCTCTACTGATGGATTAAAAATGAAAGAAAGAGGGGCTTACATATCTGAACTTTAACTTCCTTTAAAAACCTGGGTAAAACCTTGTCTGATACAGGCACTTTGTCTGTTTTTAAGCTTTTTGTCGTTCTTTTTGATATGAAGGAATTAATATCTTCATTATTCAGGTTAATCCCAATGTTTCCCATAGAATTTTTAGGGTCAGGAGTATTGCTAATGTCTTCTTTTGTATAAACTAAGAAAACATTTAAAAGTTCAGTCAATCTCATAGTCTTCAGAAAAACCTTGCCATCAGCATTCTGTAAGTGTCCACTCCCCATTTTAATATTTTGCTCACCTTTAATATACCTAAAAATATCCTTACTGTTAGTTCTAACATCATCATCTAATGGGCTTCACTAAAGCATACCTTATTTTAATTTTTAAAACGTTGAACTTGAATTGAATTGAATCTTCAATTACTATACACTTCATATACAAATAATTAAAAAATGCATAAAAAAATATAAAGTATGAAAGATTATAAAACAGAGCCTGAAATCATCCATAAACTATATAAATCATTTTAAAGTTTTAATAAGCGCAAGACATTTGATACTGAAGCAGAAGTATATAAATTTAAAGAAATGTTGTGATTGTTTTTGCAGTCAGGGTTTAAAAATTTCTTGGTCAAAGTACATTTTTTTTTCTAACTTAACCATACCTTTAAGTCTGTAGCACCAGAGAATAGATATACTTGATAGTTTACAATGTGACTGGCTGTCACCTAACCAATCAGAAAGTACCACACCAGTATACAGTCTATAAAAGTACAGGCAGTCATACTATGAACTGCACCAGAACATAGACATACATTGGTAGTTTACAATATGACTTGCTGTCATCTAACCAATCAGAAAATACTATACCAGTATAAAGCCTAGTACAAAAAGTACAAGCAGTCATACTATGCCTAGTGTAGTAATGTAATCCAATCATAGCTCCCAGGATTGAAATACCATATGACAAGCATACAGAATTCAAAGTTTTGGCTGGTCAAAGATACTTCATGCACAAAATTACGGTAGGACTCCCATTTTTCAGTAAAAGCCATATGCAAGACTCTGAAGAATAAAGTTTTAAAAATAAAAGTGTCTGAGATAGTAAACCCAAACTTTCCAAAACATTATTTTATGTATCTCAAGGTATTCTGTCTACAAGATAAAAGACAATCCAGAAGAGATCTTGCTAATGATCTATTTGTGATTACAGGTATGAATGCTATCTCCAGAACAATAAGATATAAGTTAGCATAAATTGACCTTAATGAATGTGTATCCCAAATACACCACTACTAAGAAGAGATAATCAAACCAAAAGGCACTATACTTTAAACAATTGAATGTAAAGCTGGAGGAGAATGATCTTTACAGTTGAATTCAAATTCATATTGTATGCCAACAATCAATTATAATTTGTCTGAAAGTAGAAAGAACAGTGGCACCAGGACCAATGTAAAACACCTACAGCAAAACATACTAAGGGTTCAGTAAAACTACTGGACTGCATCTCAGCCAATGGTGTAGATCAGTGGTGCACAAACTTTTTATGGTACCCCCACTTCTAAACAAGCATTTTGTTGTACTCCACCCTGTTTAACTTATTTATATGTAGGAGGCGTTTG